TTCGTCGGGAGAGGGACAGACAGACGATGCTCCTCAACTACAATATAATTTTGTAATTTAGAGGGATTATACAATTAATTAGTTATGAAAGTATTTGGATTATTTTTATTATTGTTATAATCAATTGGTAGTGATATTAAAAAATAAATTAGTTTAAAATTGTCATTGTACTTTATTAATGTAAAATGTAACGTTTTTAAATGAGTTTTTTTTTTTATTATTATTATTGCAAAACATTAAGTTCAATGATCTATAACACGAATTAAAAATGAAAAAAAAAATTATCATTGATGCGATTTTCGATTGCAGAGACAGGCTCGTTCGTGTTACAGAGCAATCAAAAATCGCATCAATTGTACTTTTTTTTTCATTTTTAAGTTGAATGGTTTTTTTTTTGTTTTGCTAAACTTCAGTTGAATGTTTTTTTTTTTTTTTTTTTTTTTATTCTAACGTCTAATTTATAACAAATTATTTTGAATATATAACATAATAATTTGTACTAATATTATTTTATAAAAAAAAAACATGGTGTCCGGCCGGTCTGACCGGTCACGACCGACCGTCCGGTTTCGGCAAAGACAAAAATGTCCAAGAAGGGCGGTAAATAGTAATAGGGGGCGACGAATAGTAATTCCCATATTAAATAACCTTGTCAAAACTCAAATGTCCAACTAAAGGGCCACCTAATTAAATGCGGGGAAAAGAGTGTGGATTGCCTATAACATTTGAAAATGACTGTAATATCCATTTGTGAGGAGCATTTACTTGTGAGAACTAGGAAGGTCCACATGTTAGCATTGTCTTGAGTTAACATATAACTCATATTTTTATTAATTTATCTAGTGTATAATATTATATAAACAAAGTTTTTTTTTTTCCCCAAAATAATGGGATGAATCATGTAGTACATTATATGTGGACGTGGAGCTTCTTAATAGACATCCGAGATGTAATTAGAGAACACATAGATAAAGCTACATTTTGATGAGTCCTAATTTTAACAAGTTCAACCCTTAGGTCTCGAAGCAATTCAAGCTTTGAGGTAGAAGTTTGAGCTACGATTTCCATGTAGCCACAAATAAATAAACATATATCTTTGAAAAAATCATATATCTTTTTCACAGTTTTGTTATGAAATCATTAGTTGACTCGACTTGTAAAGTCATCCACACTTATTCACTAATAGTGTATTGACACGTGTCCTGCAATAAATACAATTTGAACAGGTGTCAATACATTAAGTTGTGGATAGCTCCATAAGAAAACCACCCGATGACTCCATAAAATTTTTAAGGGCTTCATTGTTTATGAAATAATTTACTCAACATTATTTCTTACTCAAAATCTAACTCAACTTTAATTCAATTTCACTATTTTTAATATTATTTATATAATTAAATAATACAAACCAATCATTCTTACACATCACATCAAATTTAATTCACTATTCATCCACTCACATAATTTTAATTACTTATCATTTCCAATCATTTATCTCTTACTTTACATCAAATCAATTTTAATCATTTATTTTAAATATTATTTTAATTCATTCTTAAAATTCCACTAACAACTACATATACCACCATTTTCAAAATTAATTATGATTAACCAAAATAACTCATTTTGAACAAATTATTTCATAAACAATCAAACCCTAATCTTCTTCATTATGGCCAGATTACCAACAATCATGTTTGTGTATACTTGGAAGTGTTATTTTACTATTTTATAATTATAAATAAAAAGGTAAAAAGATGAGATGTTTTTGCAAAATTCAGTTTGTTTGTATGGAATAAATGAAAAGTAAAAAGATGATATGTTTTTGCAAAATTCACTGTTTGTTGTATGGAATAGAAGTTGAATTTCATCCATTGTCCCTTGTTCATTTATCCTTCTCCTTTTACCTCTGTCGTCTTCATTTTCTTTTTCTCTTCCTAACCCTGTCCAATTTCGTCTGCATTAACCTGGAATTTTCATAGTAAGGCTTCATAAAAGTGTAGAAAATCGAAAGACAAAGAGAACCAATCGAAAAATCTGGACTTCTTTTAATCATCTATTTTGTGAAAGAAAAAAAAAATGATGTGGGACGAGTGTTGCGATTGTGAAAGTCGGCAAGACGAGGAAAATTCCGATGAGAACTCTCATGTTAAATTCGATTTTCTTTCAATGGTATCAAAACCTAAGGTGGGCCTCTGGTTTTGCTCTCTTTTTTGTTTAATTTTATTTATCATTTTTTTTTTTGTTTTTCTTTTCTTCGTTTGGTGTAGAATGAACTTCTACTGATTAAAGTTTTTGCCTTTTCTTTTTATTTTGTAGGATTATTACAAGATATTAGAGGTAGATTATGATGCTTCGGATGAAGTTATTCGTTCGAATTACATTCGTCTTGCTTTGGTACATGAATCCCTCTGTGTTTGCTGTTACAGTTTTAATTTTAGCTGTTTTTCGGCTCTCTAGTAATTTTCTTTATTATTGTTTAATTTTTATTTTTTGTTCTCCTGATTCAGAAATGGCATCCTGATAAACAGAAGAATGAAGATGATGCTACTTCAAAGTTTCAAGAAATAAGTGAAGCTTATCAGGGTAATTGGTTTTTCCTCAATTATTAGTTATTGTTTGTTTGATTGAACTTTTCACTTCTTATCTTTTGCTGTTAGTGGCAACCTTCAAGATTATATGAAGTATGCAGTACCTATACACTACTGATAAAAGAACTTAAAAAAAAAAATCACGCAAGGGACTATTATGACTAATGGCTTCACCCGATGGATGGATTTGGTCAAGTGAAAATGATCATATACATATGACAATGTTGTTAGCTTGATGTGTAGCTAAAAGATTTAATATGGATTTATTTTTGTAATTTTGGAGGAAATGATATAAAGTTGAGTATGGGGTAAATTTCGAATCTTTTAGCTTATCATTGTCTATGGGCAACAATGTGGAAGATGTGACTACACAGGTTCTTGAATGCGAACCATATGCTAGAAATGTTGTTAGAATAATAAGTTATTTGTTTTGCATAACAATGCACAGAATGCTTAAGTCACCAGAATTAAAAGAGATCAAAACCGTGTAAGAGTGCATGAATGACTCGTTTTAGGACATATTGTAATCTTGAGTTGCGTAATAGCTTTCTATTCGTGGTATTTGATGCTTATGATTTCAAGATGGATTCTTACAAACCATTTACTGAAAAAAACAGTATTGAGTGATCCTGTGAAACGGCATGAATATGACAAGAAAGGGATGCTTTATTCATATGATGGCAATATAGCGGTGAGTGACATTTTCTTTTGTTTTCAACTCCCCGTTTAAAATTAAAAATTTTGTTTTAAATCTTTTGCAGTTCATTAGGATACTTCATAAATATATAAATTAATAAAGATATCACGGGATGCAGGAGTATCTCAATCGCTACAAGAGCCTCATCCTAACATGCAATGGCCTCGGCATGAAATGCTCTATATGGTGACATGTCTTTTCTAAATGGATAAGGTACATTTTTGGTAGCCTTCTTTGGATATGCAGCCGGTGTTATTTTGTTCATTTGAGCTTTGCGGTATCTGAAACTTTTGGCAGATGGTATTTTAGGCCATGTAGAAGGGGGCTAAAGCTGAGAGGCGTTTTTTTGTGCTTCGTTTGGTTGTACATTTGTGATCACCAAATTTGGAGACTTTTTGTTATTTATATGATACATGGCTTGAGGCCCTTTCTACCGTCCTTGCCCCCTTGTGTAATTGACAACATTAGGAAAAGCTTCGAACGATCATTGATTCGCAAAAATTGTTGTTTCATTTTTAACAGGATGCAAGAGTGTTTGCTGCACAAGTACTTATAAACAGCCTTTATAGAGCACACACAAAAACCTCACTAAATTTGAAAATTATCCCAAGTTTTTGTAACAAATGAATGAACAAGAAGAGTTCCATGTTTGCATAATGCCACAACTTCCCTATTATCACACAAAATTCTAAAATTTGGAACTACGTAAAAAAAAAGGCTTACATACAGAACAAAATTTCAGTATTCCTTTCATGACATTTTGTTATTTACTATCTTTATCAAGAGATTGACTGAGGACAACAAACGGGTTCATCTTTGTTCGGGCAGTTCTCTTCTACCCCACACAGAGGGATTGAGCGCTCGATAAATCTGCCTTTTGACTCGCATCTCAAAACCGAACTGTACTTTTTAAATGTCTGTACACTAACATGAAGCTGAAAATCCACTCCGAACAAAAACTTCAGTTCCAACTTGTTCAGTTCTGATGTGGTGACACCTCCAACTCTCGCATAATATGCATTACTGAAGAACCTGAAAACAATACATATGTTTGTATAACAATGCAGAAAGAGCATATAAAATGATCAGCATAATTTTAAATGAACCTGTCACTAGTTATTGTTTCTCAATAAGCTGTTATCTGTAGAATTTTGTTTCTCAAATGAAAAACTTAATCACATAAATCAGTTTTTTTTTTTGTTCGAAATGGGATCATTCTAATACAAAATTTGTTACACTAATGTTATAGACAGTATCAAATTAGAACAAAATCACAGAGTTAAACACGGTAAAAAACATAGTTGATCACAGATATTCGACATAATACCTGACTTTAAAAAAATTTCGATTTTTTTCAAAGAAAATTGAAAAAAAAGAGGAAAATATATTACTACAAATCAATTCAACTACGTAAATGATAGAATGGCCTTGATCAACCTGTTTTCCAGAATAATGACATAAACAGATTATATATCAACAAGAAGTGTTTAAAATAAACTTACTTATCGTCCATAAATTTTGCTGCCACCATGACACTGGTAATAAGAAGGCGGTGGATATTGCGAGAAGTCAAGCATAAATTCGCCCGTCGAACAAATCTGTCCAAATATATATATGCAATAATAAAGCAAGACGAACTGCAGCACGAATACTTGAAAATGCGGTCAATATATTGCTGAATGCTAAGAGAAGGTTCTCTTAAGCCATGGAATACTGTGAGAAAATCTCTGGTTTGTGAAGCTTCGAGCAATCTCTCGTTTTTCTGAACAGACCTCTCCAAGATTGTCGAAAGAAGGGATAAAATACGAGGCTTGCCAAAGTAGTCTTTGCTCGTGTCCTTAAGCCACCGCACGGGTGAATAATCGAGTGGTGAACATGATATCTCTGTTTCGATCGTTAAAGTTCCCATCTTCGAACTCGTCTTGCGCGACAAGTGTCAATTTTTTTCAATAAATGCTGCGAAAGATAGAAAGTATTTATCACATCAGCTTAAACCAAATCTTAAATACTGATTTGTGTGCTATATGGGCTTTACCTTAGATGCTCCCAAAAGATGGATTTATGCTTCTCACTATAGAGGCAAGTGCAACCAAAGAATTTTCCTTTTTTTCTTCTTTTCGCAGTTNAAAAAAAAAAAAAAAAGAAAAGAAAAAAGAACAAAAATGAAGCTAATATGAACATGTGCCCTCATAGTGGGATCCGTCTTTGGAGCATCTAATAATCGAGCCACATAGCATTATCAAACAGTTAGATATACCATTGATTGCAGTAAAAAGAAAAAAAATTATGAGCAGACAACTAGTCTTTGCCTCACAAGTTCATTTGATGTGCAAGAATTACAATGGGAGATGGATTCCAACTTCACATGAATTATAAATTACAATTCAGTATATTGAAAAAGGGAGGTTCTCATAAAAATAATATGGGCATTAGACTTTTTCATCAATTTTTGTACAACAAAAGTCAAAATCCTGATCTGAATACTGTGAATCACTCACCTTCCATTTTTAAGTCACAAGCTTCTAACAAACTAATCTTACCTCTTATGATAGATTCAAGTTAAGTTTAAAATTTAACTTTAGCAAACATGAAGTTCTTGAACCAGCCTGTCTGGAATCACACCATAAATTATCAATAAGTACCACAGAGATATTGATCAGTTTCAGTACATATCTCAACCCCTTTAAAGACTTAACTACTCAACCACTTTATGTATCTTTCTTTGTTCTTTCGACTCTTTTAATGGAACAAATCCTATCTAAATTAACAAAACCAGTTGAGAACTACATTATCTGCTAAAACAAAGAGCAAAGTTATAAGTACATGAAGGATCGTAAAAAATTAAGAAATTTCAGACTAAAAAAAGTTACAATCAGCAGAACATGGGACTTCTAGAGCATAAATCCCACATTCAACAACAAAAACTCAACAAAATAGATGAATCACAGCTTTCGAAGACAAATCAAAGAAGCCCACAACTTCTAGCAAATTGAGAAACAAAGAAGAAGACCCTTTTCTTGCCCATTAATATCGAAAAACATCATTTGAAAGATAATTGAATAAATGAACCCCAAAACCCGTACTTACTCCAAGTTCTTGAAAGATCTGTGGCCCCAATCTGAACTTCCGTTTTTGCATCACCAGAACAATATCTCACTGTCATCGAATTCAAAGCCAATTTATTATAATCTCACTATCTCAGAAAAGATTGGAAAAATGAATGAAGAAGAAGTAAGAAATAGGCTGTCCACCTCTAGATTGATTGGGACTGTCTTTTAGGTCACCGCACATGGAAATCGAAATACCCCACTTCTTTTTGTCTTCTCTTTCCGCCACTAAACGCGTATGAATGATTAAATGTAATTTAATATGCATTTGTAAGTGTATTTATATATAATTCTTTTCCTTCTCTGTGTACGCTTTGGTAGTTCTTTCTCACACTCGCTGTGTGGTGGTATCTGCCGGTGGATTTTTTTATTTTATTCTCTCTTTTATCCTTTTCCTTTTCCTTTTCTTTTGACATTGATAATTTAGGATTTGTAATAAAGATTTGATTTTAAATGTATACAAATGAAAGGATACTTCTTGTGCCTTTTTAACTACAATTGGAGTTTGGAAGAGAGTAACGGCATGCTTGTTGTTTATGAAATAATTTATTTCCCACTCAAAATCTAATTCAACTTTAATTCAACCTTATTATTATTTATATTATTTATATAATTAAATATTATAAATCAATCATTCTTACATATCACATCAACTTTAATTCACTATTCATCCACTCACATAATTTTAAATACCTATCATTTTCAATCATTTCCAATCATTTATATCCTACTTTTACATCAAATCATTAATAATCATTTCCAATCATTTATATCACACTAACAATTAACCATACTATCTTTTTCAAAATTAACTCTAGTTAACTAAAATAACTCATTTTGAATAAAATATTTCATAAACAATCACGCCCTAAAAATTTCTGTGTGTTTCTCAATTTTTTTCATAGCGAGATAAAGGGGTCTTACTTTTTACAACTAAAACAAAATTCAACTCTTCTGCTAGGTTGTTATCAAACAATACACATAGTATATGTATGAGAGAGTTGGAGTGGTGATTATGATATATTTATTGAGGTAAAAATCTTTGATTTTCTAATACTACAATCACAATAGTAAAAAATATTGCCAAATCTTCATAACACAAGAATTATATAATTTAAACGGTCCCACTTTTAGAAAGTGGCTGTAGTTTAGTGGTAAGAATTCCACGTTGTGGCCGTGGAGACCTGGGCTCGAATCCCAGCAGCCACAATTATATATTTTTTTTTTGGGCCTATTAAACAACACTTTCAGATTTATCAATGTACACCGACCATACTATCTTTCACTTTTCCATAATTTCTTCAAAATAACAAATTTTGTTAGTCATTTACCATTCTACCCACTAATCACATCATTTTGGCTACAAGCCATATAAAATCCATTTTTCATTACAAAATCATCTTACATGGAGTCTCATTCAAATTATTTTCAAAAGGCCTCATTTGAAACTCAAATTGCACTTGACAGTTCAAAAATACACCACCATCTTCCATTGACAAACAAAACATGTTTGATCAAAGTCATTA